CACATCAGGTGTGGTGACCAGAGGGGGTTCTCCTGAGCTCTGTGCCACGATCTCAGACCCATCCCCAGCTGTGCAGTATTGCACTGCATATTGCCATGTCCTCGTCTCATGTCTGCTGTTTCTCTGGGCTCCTTCATAGAGGGTTAAGGCAGGAAATCCTCCAGAGGGCTCTGTGTATGTGGCCAGGGTTCTTTGTGTGCTGGTGTCAAGTCCTGATTGCCTGCTCTCCCTTCTAGGAGACTCCGGCAGAGTCCCGAGAGAAGAACCGGTCGTGCATCCTGCTGGGCTTCTTTGATGACCATGATGTCTGGCACTTCCTTTCTGCAGCTGCTTTGTTCTTTTCCTTTCTGGTGAGTCCTGCTCTGCTGTGGGGCCTCAGCCTCTCCTTCTCTTCCTTGTTTTCCTTTAACTGTGAGGTGACCAGCGAGACCTGCAACCTTGAGCTTCTCCCCAGGTCCTGCTGACCCTGGATGATGATCTGGACACGGTGCGCAGGGACAAGATCCCAGTGTTCTGAGCCTCGGATGGACAGAGGCACGGGGGTGTGCCAAGCCTCTTGGCTGAAGGCACCAGGCTACCGGCGTCCGTGGGAATGAGCCTGTTTCAGTGGCCTGCAGCCCTGTGGGAGCGGAGGAGCTGGACCCACAGTGAGCATGACTGGGTGCCACGGGAACTGGGGCAGAACCAGGAGGGAAGATGACATTGGCTCCCCTGCCACCACACCCCCTGGGGCAGGCATGACCTAGCATTTGCAGCCCTCTGGCTTGTTAGGGCAGCGGGTGCTGGAGCTGGTGAAGAGGGAGAGGACAGGAAGCATATTTAAGACCTTTGCTTCCTTTCCTCTACGTTGACGTGCTCTGCTTTCTCTGTAGTGAGTGAGTTTGAGAATGCGTTGCAGCTCCTCCTGTGTCAGCAGCCATTGTCCAGACCCTGCAGACTGCTGCCCTTGGAGAGTCCCTTGGGCAGCATGGGGGGAGAATTTGGTTTCTGTCCCACCACGATCCCAGCATGCAGAGCAGCTGCCAAGTGAGTAAAAGGCTCCAGACAGAGGTGGTAGTGGGGAACTATGTTTCTTTGTTGGAGGAGCTCCTCCTGTAACTGCAGGAACATATCCAAGGGGCTGCAGTGTTTCAGGGACACAGGGACTAGTGCTGCACTGCCAGAGGCAGAGCTTCCTGCCTTGCTATTGCAGCTCCTCTCACCGGTACAAACTTAACAGCCCCCCCCACTCCTCTCCAGCAGCTCCTGTGCAGCTGCTTGTCAGTGCACAGTTCTCCTCTACAGCACCAGAAGCAGTGAGACCATGAGAGAGGTGGAGTGATGAGGCCTCAGTCTCATGTGCTGGGCACCTTATGGGCTCCTGCAGCATGCCCCAGTCTGGGAGCCTCTTTGAAGGGTTGGAGAGTGTGGAAGCTGTCCAGCAGCTCCTGACTTTCTCCTCCCATAAGTTTACTTTGGATGGGGAGTGTGGAGGAGGTCTTGGAGTCATTGGGGTTGAGCTCTTCAGAGGTGTGGACGAAACTTCTTCCCCCACCTCTTCAAATTTTCTGCATCTGAGGTTTTTAAATGTCTTTGCATTCTTTCTGAATTCTCAGTTATTTAAAAAACAAGAGTAAGGTATGAATTATTGCAGGTGTTGCATTTACAGTGTGACCTGCTTTGCTAATTTTGAATTAAAAAGTATTCTTTGAGGCCTTTGTTGTCCTTGTTTTTTATTATCTGATCGTTTTCCCCTCAATGTGCGTGTATGTATCCAGTGTTGTAGATAGGCTCTGTTCCAGGTGTGCTTACCAACTTTTTACATTGATAACTTTCTACTCTGAGAAGTCTGCATTTGCCAGGAAGGTTTTGCAGTATCTATTTCTTTAATTTTTTAAGATGAAGTTTTTCCAAGATGGTCAAAAAGGGAATGTTCCTGGTTCCCTGTTCTGCAGGTCAGCCTGAATTCTTCCTGCTACGGCTCTGAGCAGCGTTGTGTAGAGAGTTCTTGGGAAAAGGGGCTGCATGATCATATTTGCCAGTCACTGCAATCCTTAAGTTTCGCTAGGAGCAACCCATCACTTGCAGACTGTTTCCAGAGCGCAGGTACCAGCGGTCTGCTTGTTCTGTTGGCTCCCGTCAGCCCTGTGAGGGCAGTCTGGCCAGAACAGAAGCTCCTGTTTGGCAGAGGGCTGGAGCAGGAATGGCATGAGAGGCTGTTAGCCAGGCTTCTGTCCCACCTCACAGAGCTGCATGAGACATGGCTGCGTTTTGGGCAGGGCGTACAGAAGGCAGCAGTGGTCCTGATGTGCTGGGTTGGGTTATGTGCTTTGGGCTTGACTCGCAGGTTTGTTGTGCAGGTAGAGCTGTGAGCTGTCAGAATGCTGGGAGCAGGGCAGGTCTCTCACACCTGTTGCTAAGCATACACCAGTCTTTCTTGGAGGTGCCACCATGGGCTGCAGGGAAGAAGAGGGTGCTTGGAGGAGGATCGGGGTGAGGAGAGCCCTTTTTTTTTTTTTTTATTTTATTCTGCCCCCCCCCCTGCAACCCTGCCATCTGTTCTTGGTCTCTCTAAAGCATCAGGATCCAATACCAGTGACACAGGCTTGCCTGCAGCTTCTTTATTCTTCCCAAAGGAAGAGACTGCAGGAGAGCCTGAGGTGCAAAACCTTCAACTCCTTGCTGCTGAGTGTGGTGAGGCTAAGCTGCTTTGATCAGTGGGGCTGCAGAATTCTGCCTTGCCTGGCAGCTTGCTGTGCAGATGAAGCCTCGTGGGCTTTAGTACCCATGTGAATCTTCTGCTACATGCATTGTGTGCTCTTCTGTCTCCCCCCCACCTGCAAATGTGAGGGCTGTTGCAGGAGTCTGAGCTTTGTACTTACAATTATGTGAACAGTGAAACCACACACTGTGGTAATGTCTGTGCCATGAAGGAGTTCAAGACGTGGGGCTTGCTTGTGAGTTCACGCAGGGATGCTCAGGTAGTCCTGCTGCCAGGACCATCTGCTCTCTCTTTTCTCTGTGTTCCTGTTCCCAAAAGCAGGAGCAGAAGGCTGAGACAGGGCTGCATGGAGGCACCTGGGGGCTGTATGAGGAGCTGCAGCTGTGGATCTGCTGGGAGGGTGACAGTGTGTCACTTGGTGGTGAAGTGAGCTAGAGAGCAAGTGGGACAGTCCTTCAGGGGCAGCACTGGAGAGGCAGCAGCAGGAGAGGAGAAAGCTTCTGATGGAGCCCTCACCAGGGGCCCTGCACTGTTTCTGCTAGGTGCAGTCACTTACAGGAACTGGCAGATGCTGCCTTCTGCAGGCTGTGAGATGCAGAAGTGGCAAAGGAGGCAGCATCCCTTTACAAACCTGTTGCTCTCAGCAAGTTGCCAGGATCCTGGAGTTTGTAGGCTTGAATGCAAAGCCGTGTTTGCTCACTGTGCTGCGTTCAGTCCCTCTCAGCCTGGTGCAAAATGGGCTTTTGCCTTGCAGGGCCGCCCTTAACCTGTGCATGGCTGTGGAGAAAGAGCAGCAGCTCCTCTTCTTTGTGCAGAAGTCAAGGATGTATCAGAAAGTACCAGCAGTATCATTTACTTGCCTGACTGAAGAAGACCCTGTCTTCTCAGGCTTTGTCTGGATTTGTTACAGCTATCCAATGTTTTAATGAAAAATATTCCTTCTCCACATCTGCTGTACTCATGGAGCTTGTTCCAAGCCTGTATCTGTTTCTCATCGCAAAGCTGGAGATCTTCTCTGTGTGTGAATGTGAGAAGGAGCAGTAATGTTGAGCAGCAGCAGGCAGGGGCAGTGTAGGAGGTAGGAGAGCAGCAGATGGGCTCACTGTGCTGAACAGAACCGCACAGTGTGCATGGCACTGCACTAGTGGAGTGGGAGACTGGCACAGAGCAAGCAGAAAAACACGTGAGAGAATTAAATGTAAGGAGAAATGGATGGAGGCAGAGCTGGAATCATCTTGCTGCTTTTGAGCCTCCTGCTGATGCAGCAGTGTTGAAGATTCCCTCTCGGCTTTGACCTGTCTGGTTTCTGTTGGCACATCAGGGCTCAGCCCAGCCGTGTGCTGGCAGAGGTGCCCCTGGCTTGGCTGTGCTGGGCTGGTGGCATGGTCCCTGCTTCCCCAGCATGTGCTCATCCCTCCTACGTTCAGTACAGCCTGCTCCTGAAAAGGGGAACAAACAGTTCAGTTTCCTGCTGCATCCTTTCCCATTTATTTTCTCCCTCTGTGAGCTTACATGACTTGCTGGGGGCTGAGGAGCATAGTGGAAGTAGCAGCTGCTCTCTGTATGGTGTGAAACCCGTGCGTGCACAGATACAGATTTCAGCAATTGGTCACTAAATACTTGCAGGTATTTCCCAGATCATGAGAGATGTACTTGCTGTTTTTTATAAGCAGGAGTGCTAACACTGGGCTTAATCTCACTGGTGTTTTTTACCTCCTTCCCTAGTGCTGCATCTGCCTTACCCTCAACCTGAGTGAGAAAAGCTATGCAGTGCTGTCACTGAGTCGGGTGACTGGGTAATGGTGTGGGGAAGCAGCCTGAATCAGCTTCATTTGTGTTTATATTACAAATATAACTTCAGTTAGGAATGGATACGAATGTTTCTGCTGACAGATGTTGCATTGCTCACACATCCCCTGCCCACTGGCACCACGTGGCAGCCCTGAGCCCATGGCCTCAGCACCGTGTTGCTGTGCTGGAAGTGGGATCTGCAGGAGCGGTGTGGGCTGCAGAGTGGTGTCATTCCTCAGCCTGTGGAAAGCTGCAGTTTCTCCTCTTGAAAGTGGCAGGAGGTTCCATCTCTGGAGGTGTTTGAGACCAGGTTGGATGGGCAGCGTGATGTAGTATTAAATGTGGAAGTTGGTGGCCCTGCCTGCGACAAGGGGCTTGGAGCTCAATGATCTTTGAGGTCCCTTCCAACCCAAAACCTTCTATGATTCTTCAGCTTTATATATTGAGAGCCCCACACCTCCCTTTTCTTTCACACAGGGAAAGAAGCTGTACTGAACAGAACACAGACTTTGAAGAACATTTTCCTTTTTTTAATAAAATACTATTGTGTTCATATCTATACAAATAATTATTACAACTATTAAACAAAGTATTACATATAACAGTAGAAATCTCAGAGCTCTGAAACAAGATCGTAGGCTGAGATATTTACACCTGAATACGACACATTTGTAAAAAGATGTCAAAATAAACAGAACAAGATCTTATTTACAGTTGCAAGATGGTGTTCCTCCTCGTTCATTATATTCTTCTACTGCAGATTTCCTTTCTTCATTACAAAATAAGAAGGGCTTTACACTGGGGCTGTATCCAAGTAATTTACAGCTGGATAAAACAGGAGCACAGCAGCTGATTCTGGGCCGAATATAAATAATTTACATTGTGGAGGGCAACAGCATCTCTGAATAATCTCCCGTGGCAAAATCCATCTTTGCTTTCCTTCTCACAGTGAGCAGGCAGGAACGTGGGGACAGCCTACTGCTGTCTCATTTTGCATTTCTGATTGCTGAAACTGCAAATCGTATCGCAGACTTGAAACCTGCTTGTAAAAATGCAGTTTGATGAGAAAGCGGGAAATGCTTTTTGTAATACAAAAATCTGCTGCTAAGGTAAGGGTCAGCAACTTTAAAGAGGAATATGCTGTTTTTTGGAAATTATCTTGCAACTTAGGAATGGCTTTTGTGCAACCAAGTGAGGACCGTCAGCAAAGAGAAAATGGTTCTTTACCATCACGACCAAACATTTCTGGAAGTCTTTCACCATTCACAGAATAATTCACTAGCAGTACAACACGTGGAGGTAAAGTGTGGGTGCTTTAACTGAGCTGTGCTGTAAGGACAGCAGTGGTGGTGCTCTTAAGGGTTGACAGTGCCATCCTCCACCTATGTGTGCTCAGCCATGGAGCACTGCTGGACTGGGCAGAAAGGAAAAGGAGCAGAAGTGAATGCAGACTGGCTGTGGAAGTGGATGGAGCTGCTTACACGGCTCTGTTAAAAGCAAACACACAGGAAAACCCAACAACGCAAATCTGATCATTTCAGTATGAATAAATTCAGTTCTACTCTTTCTTTCCAAGTCAAGGTGGGATTATTACTGAAGTGACAAGCATTATAATTGTGTGGGAAATAAGGCATGATCACATCTCTCCATGGATCTGACTATGGCCATCCAGAAGCAGAGGGCAGCACAGGTTTTTGAGCAGGGCTGTGTGAGTACATACTTCTCTTAGGAGAAGTAACGAAATGATGCTTGTTGCTGGAAACACCTTTGCATTTTGCCCTGCACTTTGCCCTGCCAAATGATGTGTTTTCTGCACCAAAAACCAGTCGCTAACCACAGTGGCAGCGCAGCTTTAAAGTGCGTAGGAAACCTGTGCAAAATGTCAGAGGCCCTGCGCTGGCACTGCATCTTTAATTCGGAGGCGCTCCCTTGATGGCAGCCGGGCTGTCAAACACATCCCAGTGTGGCTTAAACCATTCCTGGGAGCTGCACTTTGATCAGCCCCTTGCTCTCAGTGAAACCGGTGAGAATGCTCATACACGACCAGTTTGTTGCCTGCTGTCAACTCAGTCTGATTCTGCTCACATTCTCCTAGTTTTCTTAAGGGAGTAATCGATTAATTTACGTTGAAGTACATGCAATTCATCCCTAGGCCATTTGCAATTGTTTGCTGAACACGTTTAAGACAAGCTGGAGGCCGCAGCTCCCCAGTGCTCACTGACTGCAGCAGTCCCACCCCAGAGGTAGTTCTGAACCACTCCCTTTTGCTACTTCTTTTGCTAAATGAAGCAGCGTGGAGCACGTGTCTCTTCAAACACAAAGCAAACCTTCCAGAAAGATACTATGAAACCGTTACAGAAGAGACAATTCCACTCTCAGGATAACAAATGGCAATTAAATCTTTTCCAAATATATCTTTAAAAGATTGACAAGGAATTCTTGTTGGAATTGTACAATTTTGCCAAAGAAAATGCGGTTCTACTTGTAGAATGAAGAGGCAGGGGTAATTAGCTTGCAGTGAAGAAGAAAACAAAAGCAATTCCATAATTAAAAAAACAACAGAAAGTACCTAACATCTCACTTCTTCTCTTTTAATGCAAAATACCCATTCCATCAGCTGTTCAAGAGCACCAACGTGTGAGAAACAATCTGGTAAAAGCGCAATCACCCCAGACAGGGGCACCTGGCCAGGCTCAGCAAGGACAATCTTGAACTATGAATGATGCCACGAGATAGACTACATACTAGAGCCAATTTTTCTTTTAATTAATTGATTTAAATGCCAGTCAGCTGTGAGAATAATAGAATTGGGGAATAAATAGAATTTGACAAATGCCTTCTTGCAGCTAGGTCTTCCTACATTTCCTTTCATCCTAAACAAATGCCATCGAGAACACTTAGCATCATTTATGGCATATAAAAAGACTCACTTTGGCCTGTGGTTGAACTTCAACAGCAACTGTCCTATTCAGTTGGGGTGATGGAGTGGTGTCCATCCTGGTCTTGGTAGTTTCCATCAAAAGTCCAGAGAGGCACAGTGATTACATAGGAACTACCACACCCCATAAAAACAATGTAAGGTACATTCCTCTGGAGGAGAATGGTCACGTGGTAATGAACTTCAAGCCATACACCTCAAAACTGTGCAGCTCCTGCAAAATCACACAGTCTTTGCGTCACTAACATGACTGAGTGGTAACTGCCTGCACTAAAGGTATCCTATGAGTACAATTGCTTTTTGGTCACCTTTGTAAACAGAAAAGGGGAATATGAAACTTACTGCCTGTTCAAAAATCGATTTACAACATAAAAAATAAATACAAAAAAGCCAACGCTTCCAACATGTTCTGTTGTGAATGCTCAAGATCACATTTACCTTAATACAACACCGGTGAAATTTATAGTGAAACCAAACAAAAGGAATAAATATACCCATGCAACCTTACAGGCTCCCTGCAGCTTTGACAAACAGCCCAAAGTGCTGGAGCCTTCCCAGCAAAGGAAACCAATGCAAGTAACAAATGAGTGAGGAGTAAGAACGGCACTTCTACATTCCTCTGTACAGAAGACCACATAATACAACATGCAACTGCTGATTCAGTCCTCCTGACATAATCATCCGTAACCCCTGGAGCCACTCAGCATTATGGATATCCTTGCGCTCCTTTATGGCACCCTATTTGGGATCTACAGCATCAAGGAGACCAGCATGGCCCAAGAGTCCGACCAGACAAAAGTCAGAGTCACATTTTGCTCAATCAGAGTCAAGGACCGGTGGTTGTTGCTAATGCGACTGCAATCACTGCTGTTTGGAAGAAAAGCAGGCTTGCTTTGAAGTGAAATAAATATTCCATCAAATATTTGCACTAAACACACACACAAAAATAAAAATAAAAAAAAATGAAGCACCACCACTCATGCACACACATGCTCTGTCCCTCACACACACACAAAGTCCCCCTTCCTTGTGATGCTCACATCACATCTTCCTGGCATACAACTTTTCAATCTTGACACATTCACATTCTCCCTTCACCCACAACCACATGGGCTTAGACAAAAGGTGCATTCAAGTGCAAAGTACTGATATTATATTAGGCCCCAATGCTGCCAGCAACAGTAAGCAGACAGCGTGCCCACGATCCCCATGGATTCTGTGGGATGCCATGGGCTCAGTGCTGCTCCCGTGTGCTGACCATTACAACAGGGGGCTGTCACTCACAGAAACCAGTAAGCTGGTGGCTGAGCATGGGCCAAAGAAAAGGAGAGGGGGGAAGGGGGGGAGGAAAACAACACAGAAGACATTAAGAAGGTGCTAAACAAGGTACAAAACCACCCTGAGGTAACTTGCAGCATATGAGCAATGAAATGGCAACAAACAGGACTGCTGTCCCCACAGTACTCCAGTAGGAGTACTAAGTTACATTAAAATGTTGGCCAAGTTCAGCAGCAACAGACGCCATCATTAAACAAGATCTAAACAAATTCTTCTTTGAAATAGAAAGTCACACATGAAAGAAAGTTCAATTTTCTGGAACAGTATTTTTAATTTCTGGCCATGGAAACACATGGCAATTTTTGCCACATCAAGTTAGCCTTAACTCAAGTGGATGCAACAAGCTTCAAACAGACAAAAGCTGCACAACAAATGCCTTTATCAATTAACACCAGATTAGCAGAGACCTGTCTTGTTATGAGGCTCCCAAAATATTTTACAAAGGAAAAAGAAAAACCTAAGCCACTTGAAGTTCACCTTTAGTCTCAGGTAAACACATTGTAAGTAAAATGAAACCTGTAGCACTTGTTTTCCTGTGTCCTGTTTGGATATTCCCACCTCTTTACATCCAAGTACTACTGAGAGTGGCAATCAGACATCAGGCTTGATTGTTGTAAAATCAACAATCAGTATTTGCACAGCTCTGAAGTTGCATTCTTACCGTTTATTTGCAAGTAAGCATTGCTATAGGCACTGGTGCTTTAAAGTTAGTAAGGTGGATAGAAAGGTGTGTATATAGATATAGAAGATACCCATATACATACATTTAGGCAAATAAACAGTGATGATACGACTGGTCTCTTCAGGGATGCCGGTAAGATCCACTTTCTTTTTCTTAAATACAGAAACAACTCATCAGACTAGAAGTCAGTCTGTCAGTCTTCATACCGCTGAACTACAGTCATGACCTAGAATATGGCTTATATTGTGGGCAGGTCGGTTTGAGGGCTGCTTGGAAGAATCGGAAGCAGACGTGTTTGCAATGGAAAGCAAAGGTGACATTGCTGAACCATCCGGAGGAAGAGCAGTGGCTATTTCCGGAAACAAAGACGTCAAGTTAAAGTTGGATAAGTGTGACGTATTGGTCATGTGCATTGGTGGCATATCCGGAAGCAAAGGAAAACTTGGCTGGGCAAAACCAACAGGCCGGGGAGGAGACAAGATAGATCCAAATCGATTGTTCAAACCTCCACTGCTCGGCTTCTCTGTGCTCGGATTAGGAAACATTTGGTTGGGAAAGTAAGGGATAGAAATGTCATTGGAGAGAGTGGGGTGGGCAGGAGAGTAAGGCGGGTAGAAGGATGGCAGCGTATTTTGGGGATCGACGGGGATTAGGGCTGGTGTTCGAGTGGCACTAGGCTGAGTAACAGGGGGAATGAAGGACGTGTTGGCATTTATGGGTGGATTCATGCCACCCTCTGGGATAAAAGGGAATCCAAAGTTCTGAGAAAGTGTATGTTGGTCAGAGGCTGCGTTGTCATTGGACACTTGAGGGCCGTCAGACATGAAGCGGACAATACTTCCTCTCTTTTCTATAGCAGACTGCTGGCGCCCAAGGATCATACTGCTGCTGGTAGACAGGGGCAGGTGGGGAAGACTAGGGTCAAAGACATTCCCGTGTCTTTGATTTCCGGATCGATTCCTTTCAGGCTGCCGTATTTTAGAGCCGTTGTTATCTTGCAGAGGATGCCTTGAGCGCTGAGTAACTGAAGAATTGGGCTGACGAACAGAAGGCTGCCCTTGTTCACCATTTCCATGAGAAACTGCAGGGTGAGGGTGAGTTGGCCTCACAACCCCGTGCATGTTGCTGGAGACAGGTGTATTCATGTGGCTCTTCGTTCCATGACTGTCTGTCATCCTCATGGGATTGGACTTTTGTACAGAAATGTTTGGGCTTGTATTTCGACCCTGAATATCTCCCGAGGAAGATGAAGTTGAGAAGGGAATAGTTAAAGAGCTGTTCCTGGTGTTAATTGTACTGATGGACATGTCACAGCTTTCCCTGTTCTGAGCATCGCCATCTCTCCGGATGTGGACACTCTCCCGGGCTGGGGGACAGCTGTACTCAATCGTGGAGGACGCACCGCACTGTGTATTCCTTGGATGTTCTGGGATCGATCGCTGGCTTCCACTGACTTGATCGCCAAGGTTAGGGGCAAGTAAGCTCTGCATAAAACTTTGGTGGCATGTATTTTCATTTTCCCTTGATGGAAGGGAATTTCCTGTTGGAATACCTTGTACTGGCTGGTAAGGCAATCTCTTCTGCCTTTCTACGGGTGGCCCAGTATTCTGACCAATTCGAAAAGCTTGCGATTGCATGCCCCGGAGGGACGACACAGAATTACCAATTTCACTGTTTCTTGAGGCCTGCACATCAAAATTGCCTGCAGGTTGTTGGTTGGGTCCTGCTGGCTTAAACGTCTGGCAATCAGAAAGCCGTTGTACATCTGAGCCAACCGTATGATCAATGGATATACGGCCCTGCATATTGTGAATAACCAACCCTTTATTTCTAGAAGCATCAATATAGCTCCTCATTTCAAGCTGGTCAGATACTCTAGGGCCTTGAAGAGAGATTCCTATTCTCTGCTCTGAATTAGAGGGTGTCTTCCCAATAAGTGCCTCAGCAGAGTAGCTGGAAACTCTGTTTCTCTCCTGCCTATGAGGGGTGCAGGTCATGTCTGACGGCCTGGTTACAATACTTGCCTGCGATACCATTTGCGGCTCTAAACCCCTGGAGGTCATCAGTCTCTGCATGGGATTGTGCCCTGATACATGCTCAGAAGCTGAACCTTGCTGCCTGCTGCTGACATCTTGCTGCTGTTGATGCATAATGTCCTGATTTATATGGCTCTGAGGGTGGTTATGATGGTTTCTGCTTGTGGCAGGATTTTCACAGTTCTTTTCAGGCTGGGAAGCTCCAAAGTGCTGCTGCATCTGCTGCTGCATTTGCTGGTGGTGAGGATGAGGCTGACCGCCTTTCTGCCGTGTCTGATCACTTCCGTGGTGTTTCTGCTGTAAAGAAAGTTGAGGGGCTTGGGTTCCCTGGATGAGATTCCTTTTCTTTTGCATTTGCACTTCCTGCTGTATTGTTCGCTGCTGATGGACGCTGTGGGGTTGAGAGTGGACTGAGCTTTCCCCATGAGTGACATGGTGCTGCAGCTGATACAAGTGATGCCTTTCTCTTAATTGTCCAGCCTGCTGCTGCTTTAAGTAGGGATGATTATTGTGAAGGTGAGATATGCCTTGAGCGGGAACATGCTGAATTGGCTGCAAATGCTGCCCTCCCGTGCCTTGCTGCTCTGAAATTGATGGCTGGGAGTTACACTGAACTTCAGTTTGTCTCAAAGCTGGTGTTACAAAGTTGCTGTTTGATGGGAATAGCCTATTGAGGCCATCTGCGTGCCCCTGATTGCTCAAGGATGCCACCGAACTTGATGAATTAGAAGGCATCTGACTGACCAGCATCTGTGTTTGATCAGCAATACTCTCTGGTGTTCGATTCATCAGTGCCATCCCTTCAAGCCTTAGAGGTGCTGTCTGACACTGCTTTTGTCTCTTTGCTGTAGAAAGCAGAAGGTCATCCTGAACAGCCCTCTTGGCAGAGTCCTTGCGACCTTCGTGGTTTTGCTGCTTTAATCGTGATTCCTGCAGCTGAGGAGCTTGCATGGAGTTTGCCCTAATAGCGTTCAGTTGTTCCTGAGCATACTCACTCATCATAGCTGGTCTTGGAGATGGGTTGACATATGAACCAGATGGAAGAGAGAGACCCACAGTTGCAGGAATGCTTGCTGGCTCTGAAGGCTGGGATAAACTTGAGCAACTCACGAGGGGATGGACGATGCGGCTCTGGTGTATCAGGTTATTCACACTTAAACTGGTTATGCTCGGTGACTGGGAAACTGAAATCTGCAAAGAAGAGTTGGAGGTTTCCACACCTCCTACAGAACAGCTTGGTTTTTCAACTTGCCTACCAACATTTGTTTGCACTGTATCCTGGGCACTGAATTTGTTTGGCGCTGTTTCTAATGGCCCTGCACTGCTTTCTTTCACTGGTAGAGTTTTAAAAGTCTGTTGCTCTCTCTCCAGAGTTGCAACCTCAGTTGACTTAGGTACGGCATCCCTCATGTTAACTTGCATTCCTCCTCCACTTTTCTCAAGGCTTTCCTGGTCAAAAATAGCTCTTGCTGCAAGAGCAACTATGTCAGGCTGTTCTGAAAATGTGCAGTTGTTGCACGTACTGGTTGACGTGTTGCTAGTAACATCTTCTCTGGTGGTATCTGGTAACATCGATGCCACAGAGAAGCCCCGGCTGCTACCAGAACTGGTTGACATCGGGGAGTCTGCCTGCCTGCTGGCAATGAGGGCAGCACTAACTACTTCCTGATCAGAAACGCAGGTGTGGTGCTGGGAGAGTGCATCACCTTCTGTGTTCATTAACAAGAGTTCCTGCTTCTCAGGCAAATCAACATTTGATTCCACTGATTTAGAGTTTTCCATGGGAAAATTAGAATGCTCCCCTTGAACAGCAAAAGAAGAGCTTTTTTCCACAACTGTTCTTTCTTTTGTGAGATCAGACAGCATTTTGGTCAGACCTTGCCCTTCCAACAAGTCCACATCTTGCATGACAACTGAAGAACCCTGCGGAACGTTGCAGGACTCTGAAGTTGTTCCTGCAGTGGAAGTCTGACCTGCCGTGCTGCTCTCCACTGTTGATGCCCCAGAAACCTGAGAACTTGTCCCACGTGCTTCAGTTTCAGAGGGTGTTAAGGTGCCAGAGGGCTCACAGCGGGAGGAAGACTCTGATGAGGCTGAGCTGGTCAGTGGGTTGCTCTGAGGCTGACGCACTGGCAGGAGAGGAGCAGCATCCCTGGCAGTTGGTGGGACCAGTGCCAACCGTTCGGACACCGCAAGCTGCAGTGGCAAGGGGGCCGGCAGCTCTGCCAAAGTTGTCTCTGGTGCAGGGCAGGAGCCCACTGTTTGCTCTGAGCACTCAGCTTCTTTGGAAGGAGAAATACTTGCACCAGTCACCTGCAACGTGGCTAAAGCTTGTGACACTGCAGGAATGTTCTCAGGCAACTCCTCACCCTTTGAATGTTTTGCCACAGCTTCTACAGGAGCACCGTCTGTCTTACCTGCATCTTTACAAGGAACTGCTGCACAGGAAACTTTAACGTTGGTAGCTAGGTGTTTTTTTGTACTCTGCTTTTTGTTTGTCCTTTTTGATTTTGTATTAGACAGAAAACCAGCAGCAGCTTTTTTGGGGGAAACATTTGTTGAATTAGATGCACTAGTTAACACTGAACCGTCCAGAGGCACTGAGGGGGGCACTGAAGCTGGTAATGACACACAGTTAACTGTGGTAATCTGATTATGGACAGTTGTGGGATTGGTAGGGTGGCTGAGAGATAAGTGTAAGCAGCTTTGTCCAGCCATTTGTGATATGCTCTGATTGAGGTTAGCTAAAGCACCAAATGTATTGAGAGCAACATTGGTATTTGGATCTTCGCTAGTGGTGGGTTGAATAATTTGCATAGGGGCTTGATTTGAAGCTCCGGATGAAGACATGACAGGCTGCAATGCAAAAAGCTGCCCATTTAATGAGATTGTTTGGGGATGCTGTTGATTTGACATTGTAACTGAAAATGTTTGTGTAGAGCTAGAAGTTGGCAAAGATGATGGCCTTGGTAATATATGGACAAGGTGTTTTCCTCCAAAAGTCTGTGGAAGATGGGCATTTTGTACAGAGTTGGAGTTTGCAACTGCCACAGGCCCATTCACAGGAACTCTCAGAGAAGCAGAAGGCTGGGCAGAGAGGAGAGGAAGAGGATTCTGACTAGCAGCTTGAATAATTACAATTTGTTGACTGACATTCTGGCTAGGAACTTCTGCCCTGACAATTGGAGGACACGGAGCAGTGTTTGGAGGCTGGAGAATGATGACATTCTGGTTCGCTGGTGCTCCTGTCACAGCTGACGCAACCGGCTGAGCCATCTGAATTACCTGCATAGTTGAATTTAACGGAAGGATACTTCCTGCAGCCTGAGTTTTAACCTGTGGTTGGCTGATTAATGGCTGCATAGGTAGGGATGGGCATGAGGGCAAGGTAACTACAATCTGTTCAGCTGCCTGCCCATCTATAGGCAGAGAAGTATTCAAACTAATGCTCGTTGTCAAAGGTCTGCTGTGAGCAGGAGATACGGTACTAGCCCCGTTAACTGGCTCACTTAGCAGCGCGGTCATTATACTGGATGGTGTTTGGCTTAGTGGCTGGACAGTATTTCCTGCTAGCTGCAAAGTTGTCCATGTGGTCTGTGTGTTTCCAGCTGAAGGCATCCGTGTAAGGCTACTCATATTTTTCAAGTCTGACGGGACAACACCTGTAGAGCCTGAAAAAGACCAGCAGTTCTCCAGGGGACTGGCAGGCAGAGTGCTTATTACAGTTACAGCCTTCATTCCTTCTGCTGCAGAAGTCACGGGCATGTCAGCACTACTTATTAAGTTTGTACTTTTGAGAACATTTACAGAGGAAAAACTATCTGCAGCAGACAGTCTCACAGATGGCACAACAGCTGTGCCAGTAGTTGAAATTACAGAGCTTTCCTGAAATTCGTTCCTAGAATTAGGTGTTTTTGAGCTGGTTGCATTTACGTGTTGAACTTTCTCAGCTTCCATGGAGGCACTGGAAGGAAGGCTGATTCCCTGCACGACTGTTTTCTTTGTTGACTTTGAGCCACCTTCATCATTTTTACTTTTGGGGAGACTTTGACCATTCTGCAGTGCGTTACCTGAAGAACACTGTAGGCCCTGTTCTGTTCCGGATTGAGAAGCGTTCTGTGAGCTGGTAGCAGCGAGCACACCTTGCTCATTTTCTGTGATGGAAAGTTCAACAGCGTTCCCTGCTGGAACCACCTGAGTGGGTGCCAGTGGAGAAACTGTACTCTGAGACCGTGGTTTGTTTTCTGCAGGATAAATACCAGAAATTGTCACAGGAGTCACTAGGTTGCAAGTTCTCTGGACTGGAACAACATTGGCTGTTTGCTTTTGTAAATTATGACCAACATTAAACGTTATTCCCTGGACAGATGCTCCCTGGTTATTTCCGCTGGGTTGACTCCCATTTGAATAGACGATAATGTTCTTTTGAACTTGATCACTAGGAATAACAACTGAGACCTTTGCATTTTTGAGATTCCCCTTCCAGTGGATCGTAGGATCATCATACAGGCAAATATCATTGGCTTTCAGTAGTTCGATGTATCTCCCATTTTCCTTTTGGAGTTCATCCAGTTGTTTCCGCAGTTTTTTTATCTCTTCAGCTAGAAAACAGTGAGAAGAATTCAGGACAACAGCATCAGTGCAAATACTAACTAACCCTACCAAGTGGTTTGGAGAATAAGTTATATATAATACTGAAATAAGCTCTTAATGTGTGCTTTCTTGAACATAATAACATAAATGAAGACTACCCCAATAAACCTTTCTACTGGGCAGGAAGGTAACGAACCCCACAAACTACTCCACTCCCAATATTCGGATTCGTCTTATTAATTAGTTAAAAACATATAAAATAAATCATGTGAAACCAAACACTGATCAGCTTCTTTAATTAACGAATGAAAAGCAAATATCTTCATTGATCTTGATGAAATTGATGGCCTTGTGGTTTTCCAGTTTAATTGCATATAAAAATGACATGCAAAACTAAATAGAATGCCCATATGTAAAGCAACAAAACCCAGCAGTGGAATTGGAGAGAGTTCACCTAATAGAAAAATCACCTAGGATTTTCAAAACCAATCACATCAACAACATGATCTATGTAATAGCATCCCACTCTTTGTGGAGAAATAAAAATCACCAACTATAACATTAGCTCTGAGATTATTTCTGTCACATCTCCACCACTGCATTTGTAAGCCTCTGTTAAAGTAGAATTTAAATGAGGCATCATATTTTTATAAGGTAGGGTGTTACTACTTTCAAAGTGTTTGAAAGGAAGGAGAAAAACAACTGCATGAGGAAAGATCCATCTTTCCAATGAAGAAAATCTAACCCTGAATTTTAACAGAATTTTTTCATCACATTACAGTAGAAAAAAAATTGTGATGGAATCTACTAGGTGATCTTGCATTACCTGTGAGATTTTTCATTATGTTACATCACAAGATGATCGCTTCAAATCTCATAGCTAGAACACGTGCCTGGGCATTTTCTTCTTTTATTTTTTTGAGGTTATTCTAAGATTTCTTTTTGCATGCATACATGTTGGGATTCCTTAAGTCTGTTGATACAAGGAATCCCTGGCTTTGTTCTCAGTACTAACAAATACACAGCAGAAAGGACTGACAGAAATTCTAGAGCTTCTAGAGGACTCTGTACTTACCCTGTTCATTGTTCCCTCCATTTAACAGAAGCTCATCATTCTGTCTTTTCATTTCTGTTATGTACTTAAAGGCCTGATCCAGGATCATGTTCTTGCTCTTTAAGGGAAAAACACACACATGAAATTAGAAAGAAATCTCACTATTACTGGATCTGTCATGATAGATCTTGCACTCGATCCAAGAGGCTTCATTTTAAAAAAGTGCTAAACAGAATGCTTTTCTGAACTTCTTTTGTCTTTTCACCTCGCATGAGGACATTGTCTTCCCTTACTATTAATATCTGACTTTCAGAATTGATTTCATTTCACTATGCCAGTGATTACAGAAATAAACACACACACGTTTAATGAGAACTTTGGAAAGTTGTGGAAGGACAAGCAGGCATCAGCAAGATGATTAGATGGCTATGGACAAATGAATCTTCTCAGAAACACTGCACACATGAATGAAGGAGAAAGTCAGTGAGCCACATGTCCAACTCGTACTGCTCATTACTTCAGCAGTCAGCTACAACACTTTCAGACATGAAGCTCAAAAATCTGTGCAAATATATTAGCATGGCTTTGTATTTCTAAAAAGAAATTCTGTCATAAATACTTTTTAAAATCCTACTAATAGCTAGCAAAATTTCAAGCATGTTAATTCTGACACTTTCGTCTTCTTTGTGAGACAAATAGCAAAAGTAAGTATTTTTACTTCTGCAGACAAGGAAACACAAACATTTTACAGGATGCACATCTGAATGAACGCTTACCTGCTTAAGTGCTGGAGAGCAAGGAATGAGTTCTCCAATTCTGTTTATCCCAGCATTAATCTTTTTCTTTCGATGCCTCTCCACTGAGCAAAAACAACATGCACTATGTCATCTAGTTGGGCAAGTCAACACAACAAGACAACTACTACCAATGGAAGGGTTCATAAATACATTATTTCCTGAGTTACTGGAACCATGAATAATGTGGTAGAATAAAAAATCTCCACTGAAGTAAACTTCAGTTACTGAATTAACACTCAGTGAAATTAACAGCTGTAACATAAGAAACAACAACTTTTAAAGGTGAGGATTTTCAGGGTGCCTTTATGGAAAAGCAGTGCTATCGCAATTCAAAATTCAGGTTTTGATAATACTTTCTGGTTCTAGCTATACAGGCTATCAGTTACTCATTTTTATGTTGAAAACTCTAACTGTTGTGGAAGATCCTATTATGACTGGAACAAAAAAAAGGAATTTTAATGAACAATACTGCCAGTGAGTTACCTATTCTGAAGAAAGTCTGATATTGAAATGTTTTGGCGTTCTGAATAAAGTTCTGTCATGGCTCTGTCAAGATTCATATTGATATGTCATTCATTATGAGTTCTGTTTCGTGCAGCAGGGCTGCTTTTGATACATACAGAAACACACAGCAACCCATAGATGAGCGTATGTTCTACAAGCAAAACCATACTTTACTTCTACGTTATGCTCCTTCACAAAGGATATACTGATTTATTTTAAATAATTTTGTTTCAGTAGTCTCTCACTTCAATTTAGATTTCTCAAACAAATGAAGTAATTTTTGTATTTCAGGAGAGGAAGGAAGTGATCCCGGAGACAGCAGTTACATTAAGTACTATTCTAGCATAGCAAAATAAAGCCTCTTCTGCACGAAATTTATGAGGATAAAAACACACCAAAACCAACTAACCAACCCCAAACCCCAAGGCACTGTCTTCAGTCTCCATTTAGTTGGGAGCTAAGGCACACGGAGATCAGCAAGTCCAGCATGAGAACAACGCATACATCTCATTTGAAGTATTCCCCCAAGGCTCCCTCTGTGCTCTGGGGACTATGTAATTCACCAAGCCTAAGGCACAGGCAATGTGTGAACATCTTTAGACTCCTCCCCAGGTCTAGCACGACTTCAACAAAAGGTCATGTACATTTACAGCAAATGAAGAAATAAAAACTAAGCAAAGCTGTTACTCTGAACTAAAGCTGCATTCCATATTATTATTTATAGGCAAGGAAGAGGTTTGTGTACAGCTTTTAAGGAAATCCTGCAGCCTATCTATCTTCTAAAACAATGTAACAGCTTTGAAGAGCCTGTAACCTCTACATAACTTTATCCAATTAAGTCAGTCACACAAGAGCAGCTGCACAAACATTAAAATACGTTATCTTTGGGATTTAATTTTTAAATATCTTACTGCTGCTAACAGGTGCAGATACCACAGTGGTCATGAAGCACTATTCCTTTATTTTGATAGTATCATCCACTCAGTTTGTCCAGACATTTGTGACTAAGCAAGCAATAGGGCTGGAGGGAGCTTGTCCCCACATCTTGCAGAGATCAGCCCACTAGAGGAAGACTTTCAAAGCTATCAGCAAGTAAAATAGGAACCGAGAATGAGAATGAGCCATCTTAAAATTAACTTAAGATTCTTTCCCAATACTCCTTAGTCTTTAGGAAATTGGCCACATCCTGGTCACGTGGAAACTACTGGGTGTTTTTTTCCACTTGAGGTCGCAGAGACCACACATTTGCGCTGTTTAATGAAGGGAGAACAAGACTCAAGAGTTTAGTACGTTGTATACAAGGCCAAAACCTTCAGACTCTACTGAAACCTGACAGTTCTGCTGATAGTTATCAAATGACGTTGAAAGCTGAATTCAGTGGAGAGAAAAGGCTGCATACTGCACGAGGGATGCAAGTCCCACAGCATACAGATGATACTCACACAGAATTGCTGGAGCAGGCCTAAGGGAGCGATCTGTGCATACGTATTCTAAGCAGGACCACAGAGAGATGTTTGGTAGGATGTTGGGCTTTTTTCCGTTATAAACTATTATAGAGGGACTTTCTCCAGGCAAAATAAGTTATTGAAGAATCTGTGCTTATTTATAGAAGAATCAACAAGAAAAATATTCCTACCTGCATTGTGTGTCTCCCGATTTTTCTTTCTGTTAATGATAAAGGGGGAAACAGTGATGTGAAACAGAAGGAAAAAAAAACTGCATGCAAACAATTTTCTCTTATTTTATTATTTCAATTACAGCTAAAAATACTAAATGTTACACTCTGCTCTGAACAAGAATACAGCAGAAGTAATACTCACAAGGATTGGTATTAAACAGGCATTAAATAGTTTCTACAAAAAAATCATTAGCGTTCAGACTCGAATTAATTTCAGCATAGCAAGACAGACAATAATAATCCATTTGGTTATTACTGCATATTTATTGGACAGAGCTGGATTTTGATTATTTTGTTCATCAAAAACTAGTATGCTATCCAATGCTAAATATTATAATCCAAAAACTAATTTTGACCAACAGGCTAAGCCAGTAATTTGTTTGAAATGTTGCTTTTGCATTCAAAGAATCAATGAAAAGGGAGAAAATACTGCAGTGCAAACAGATTCTTTCAGATCTGTTCCCTTCAAAAATCAACCTTCTGGTATCAAATACGCTTCCTTTGTCAGAAACCAGAATTATCTTTCCTTTGCAACCATTCCACTGTACTGCCTCAAAATTCTGTCTAGATATAATGTGGGGATGTGAGGCTTCTCTTTGTTTTCACACGTTCCTCTGGGATTCCTGGACCAACGGCAATCAGATGAGAATCAATGTGCAATGCCTCAAATTGCTTTTGCTGGAAGTCAATAAATTCTAAACACGTACTTCATATAAATAAAACCAAGTGCCCTGTAGCTATGCAGTAAGCCAAATATTTCCAAGAAATACAATAAAACAACACACATTTTTTCTCAAAAAAAGGTATTTCATTTAAAAAAAAATAGATAAATATTTCAAAAGACTTCTGCCCAGCAGTGCCTCTCAGTCTGGTGGTTTGGCTACAGTATGCAAAAAACAGTAGTATTTTCTGCTTTCCACTCACTATTAAAGCACAGTCCAGATGTAACAAGAAACCTGGAGTGAGAATATAAGATATATGTGGATGACACGAGTGACTACTATTGGTCACACACCTTTTATACTTTGAGTCGATGTACTTTTATTTCTGGTAACTCACCACCAAACAGCACGCATCTAGAGTAACGTAGTGTTTACAAGACAGCGCTGTCGCCTGCACATCTCAGTTAACAGTAAACTACAGTTTTCTCAGAAGATGATCACCTTTAGTTAGCAGAAAAAATATCCTGCATGGCTTGCTAGCATAAGTTGGATGCTGTAACTAAGGACTAAAGAACTACACTGCCAAACCAGGTGTTAGATCAATAAATTACTACGCAGGAACAAAAACTTGTAGAAGTTGTGATGAACCCTCAGCCATTTGGTTATAAACTTTGGTTATAGCATTGCTATTCAACCTTGGATTGTGTTTTGAATTTCAGCAGAGATTTGTGAAGATCTACATTCCACTGTAACTGGTGAAAGACACCTATACCACTCCATCAAAAGGAGTTGCTGTAATAAATACAGCCTGCACTCTAACCTAAGTAGCGGTGCAGTCACATGCATCTGAGTAGCCCGTGTGATAAAGAATCTCTTTTGCCTTGGTGGTCGAGGTAGATATATCCTTGACAAATAATTTAGCATGGATAGAGGAAGAGAGAAGGGGAGTTTTACAGCCATAGTTAACAAACTTTTGCAGGAATCCCAGTCAGCCCTCAGAACTTCTTAATAACCTCATTAGTAAATTTATAACTAGAAATTTTGTCATTACAGTACGACCACAGACTACGGAACTGCAAAATTCATTTTTTCACAGAAACTCACCGATGTTGCTTCTTAGTAGGTGTCTCATTTTCTGTCATTTCTGGCATGGTTTCAGAGAAGAGAACCTGATGAAAATTACAGAAAGAATTAACAACTGCACTCTTCTGGATTCTTTGCACATGACATCATTTCGCCTTTGACCACAAACACAAGGCCTTACTGTTACTGGACAAAACACCAGCCTGAAAGAAAACTCCTTAAGATGAATTTACCATTAAGAAGCAGGCATGCTTTATTGTGGCACTGGGTGCACAAGGAATAACCTCACCTAGCAGGCACACTGGGCACAAGAAGTCTTCAACTTACATACACTTTAAAGTTGAATAAGCACTAATGATTCACTGCTACAAACTATTTGGTAGAAACAGATTGGATTAAGGCCACTTGGCATGCTTTGTTTGCCTATTCATTTGACTGGCAAATTTAGTGGCTATGTTCAGTTGTTATTCTTCTTTAATTCCCTATGTATGTGTTGCCCCTGTTCCTTGTGGCTTACCACCATTATTACTTCAGTACATTTTGCAAAATATTGTGAAAGACTTGGCAAGACACATTATAAAGTATCCTGCAAGACACTGCAAGAGATATAGAAATGTACACTGTAACATACTGGTACAGTCATTACATTACTACAAGGTGTGCAGAAGTCCATCACCTTTCTGTAGATAGACTGGTCATGTGGCCATTAAAAATGAAGTACACCTGCATCGATGCCTTGTGAACCTCTGCTGTCTGCGAAGAACTGGTTTCCATTTCCTCAGTTAAAAAAAACCACAATTATAAACTCAACTATTTTAAGAAAGTAAAAAGGAAAAATAGAACATAAATTTGTTGGGTTTTATTTAATGGGAGGAGGTACAGCCAAACTCTTTTCCAGTCAGCAGGTTTCTTCCAAGGGATGCTGTTCCCTGCCAAATGCCATCACATTGAGTGCCAGCCTTCCTAATTGTCACATGTAAAAATGAAGTTTGCATTTCATATGCTTCAGTTCTGCTGGGATTCACAGCCCCCTTCCTGCAGAAGAAACAGGGTGCAAATGTATGGTTAATATTATTTTAATTTCGCTTCACTGGGAGATTACTTCAAGCCAGAAGTTCATTGAAGTTCATAAAACTCAAACAGCATTTCAAAACAGTCCTGTAGGGGTGGTATGAATAAACAGGACCATGTCCATTAGCTAATTGAGCTGTTAGTTCATTTCAATTTTCTCCTAAAAAAGAAGCAGTTAAATGTATTAAATAGCTCTTACATACAACGCTTGAGTACCTACTTCAAAATTGTAACTTGAGAAAGATGGGGAACTGAAGATTTTTTTCCTATTCTTATTCTGTAAGCACATAAGCATATAGAATGGGTTGAAAAGGACCACAATGATCATCAAGTTTCAACCCCCCTACTGTGTGCAGGGTCGCCAACCATCAGACCAGGCTGCCCAGAGTCACATCCAGCCTGGCCTTGAGTGCTGCAGGGATGGGGCAAAAACCTTTGCATTTTATTTGATAAACCTCAAAACAGAGCACGCAATGGTAGGGAGGTGGTATCTGAAAGAGCTCCTGAACACACAGGGTCCAAAAATTTTAAAAAGCTGCCCAGGGAGAAACTTCTATGGACTGCTAAATAATGTTTATCCTCTTTTCTTCCTAGCAGCCATTGCCCCACCAGTGCTTCATTTCTTTACTATTTATTTTATATTAAGTGATACTTCCAAGAGAGATTCATTTTCTGATTTGCTGCAGCAGGAGACAAGTATTTGCTCTATAAGCTCAGGGGCAAATACATTTTAAGTTCACTCATGCAATACACTCACTCGACCCAGCTGAATAACTTCTGCAGCAATAATGCTGCAGATCCCTAATTCTTCAGACAGATCAAGGATGCAATTGGCCATTTAGGGTTATTTATTCTCAAGTTTTACATAGTTTATAGCTGTCATAATGTCAGCTTGAAATACTGATTTTAGTTTAAATGCAGTGTCATCCCCAGAAATTAAATTCTTTCTCTTCAGGAGATTTAAGTTCAGTGTAATTTAATCAGTGCTATGGTTGCACAGTTCTTATTAGTTTCATGCACTTTCAGTCATGATTTATGGATAAGATCAATTCCAAGGCATAGGTAACTTCTACACAAATGCTCTCTCTTCCTGCAAGCCACAGTTCTCTTTATTCTTATATACTTACTCTTGGAATGCTCTGTTACAGTCTTCAGTGTATGTTCAACCAGCTCCAACCAGAGACTTAATTCAAGCTTTTAATCACAAGCAATGCACCCTTGAGATAAAAATCATCACTGCCTTTGCTTTATCCCCCCCTTGAGACACTTCTATTGCCATTTTGCAGTTAGCTAACAAAACGACAGCAGGAAATGAAACTTGAAACTCTATCTTTGCAATTGTTACCAACATACCAACTACTTTTGCTTATGAAAGTAACCTGTTAAGACTACTGGATAGGAAAACAGAGGGAGAAATGGCCCTACTCAAGGCAGTGAAAATCCCCTTGGTATTTTTTAGTTTCATTCTGAGGAATCCAATGTTTTCTTCTTACTACACTGTGTCTACTCTTCCACACACTCGTGACAACTGGGCCCAATGATGAACCTAAGCAAAGTCCCTCGAAGACATGACATTCCCAGATGTTTATAAAAATTGAGCACGGGCAGAGAAGAATGAGTAAGGCCAGCAGTGACAGTGACGGTGAGTGAACAGATGCTCCTCTATGATCAGCATATTCCTGCTGGCTGACTAGTTCAGGTGAGCCAGATCACCACACGTACTTGTTTACTCTTTATTTCTTTGTTTATTAAATCAAGGAAGGTGTACGAGGGATTGAAGGGCAGGCAAGAGTTATCTTGACTTTTCACAGAGTACACATTCCCAATCCATACCAGCTGATTGCTTCCTACAGCAACTAGGCTGCTCTGTGAGCTTCTGCAAGAGTCAGTGACAGCAAACCAATGCCAATAAACTACAGCGTGCTATAAAAAATTAAGTGGGTTGTATAGTGTCTGACAGCAACAACAGATGGGGATAAAAGCTTCACTGCTTTTACAATTTCTGACTTACTTCTTTTGTTTGTACTATCTAAATTCAAAGACTATTTTCCCTCCCACTGACATAAAGCAATTAAGTTTCACTAAGGCTATTATATAAGATCACGTAAGAGAACTGGAAAGCAAGCTTTCTCCCCCTTTCTCTCCTTGCCCTCTCCCTCTCTCTCTCATTTTAATTTTATTTATTTATTTTTTTTTGTTAAACAATATTGCAGGAAGAAGCAGGCTTATCATGCAAGTGATGTGCCATCAAATTCATTTTTGTTTATAATTTTCATAATAAAGTCACAGCTGCTCATGACTGTTGACTAACACATGGGTTCAAGAGAGCATTCCTCAGAAGAATCCTGACCAGATTTGCTTAAGAAAATTCTAAAGAAGTTCTTAGTTTATTTGTCATTACTCTTGCTCTGGCACTGCTGTCCCTTTAGTCTCCAAGTTTAGTATCACATTCACTTAAACCTTAGAGGAGGCATAAAGGCAGGAATATCACTCTACTGAACAAAGCCCATTACCTGCTGCTGATGTTCTCAAAGCTGCAGAGGCATCTCCGGACCTCTGCACGTAGCTGTGAGCTGCTACCGCCCCCCACCCTCTGTGTGGATGATCACAGAACTATGGACAGACCAAAACGACATGCAGTGCTAGCAAAGAAAATGCCTACACAAACTGTATCCCATGATCTAGGGGAACTGTTATATGGAAGCAGGCATTTGAGGATGAAAAAAAAAAAAAAATAAAAATGATGACCACGGAAAGTCTCAAGACGCTGCGCTCTGTGGACACTTTGTTAAGATGCACAAGTCACCATGTACCAATTTCATAAAGGAAGCAAGAAAGGAGGAGGCATTTCTCTAAGTTGCAAGACAGTGTTCCTTTCCATGGTTTTCAGTGATCTACTGTGCATTCCAAAACAGAAGATTAGTTTCAAATTGAAGACACATCTAATTATGTCACATTCAACAAAGCTATCCAAGACTCTGCTTTGGTGGGCAAGGCTAAGTGGGTGCCAAGTGGCTTGTGGACAACTTCCTTCTGTGACAGGACTTCTACCTGCAGTAGCTTACACAAGTGCTGCATACAGGTTGTGAGCACATTTCTACTGCCAGGTAACAGCATCTAGTGGTGAGTCAACTCTTTCTGGCAGCACGCTGCCTAAACAACAAGTGATTTCTTCCTGAAGAAGCTGTAACCTAAGTCTTCACGGTCTCTGACTCCTGAAACCCAGATGATTATTTCTAATTGAGGATGCCTTACACAGGAAAGCTCTGTCTGAAACACCAAAGACTGGTGGAATAAATTAGAAGTTACAGAGTCAGCAACAGCTAACCTAATTCTGCTTTATAATACGCCCTTACCTTCAAATGAAATCTCTTGATTTGTCACAGGGTTGCATAATCAATGTAAAATCAAAACAAAAACATTCTGGCTTACAGCATCCAGAATGCTATTGCTCACTTCATTTTTAGGTTTTAATCTAAGCTCTTATCTGTCGTGCACCCATAAATGATCCTCATGTAGTCTGTTTATAAAACTGTGTGTGATCTTAAGTAAGTATCAAGTTAGCCATAAGAATGTTCTCTTACAGCTATACTGTACATGCAAGCACTCTAACTAACAAGTAATGCAAAATACCCAAGAACAGAAATGTGCAGGAGAGTTTAAACTTTTTTAATACATCTAAACAGATGAGCATTAACTACAATGGATTACACAACGAAGTTCTTAAATCTTTTACAGGTTGAGGTTTGAGAAATATGACACAAAGAACTGAACATGTGATCTTAAGACCTAAACAGTTGCGCTTCCTGTCTCAACTACAAAGCTCCCTCACAACACGCAGAAGAAATCCATTGTCAGATTTGGTTACAGGGATCTTTCCGTGTGAGAAGATTCTTCCCAATGAATCTTCAGGGCAAAAATAGGCAAGGCACTATGAAACAGTACTTCTGCTGCTGTCTGGATGTGCTTCCAAAGCACCTGTTGAGGCAGCATACTGCCGCGTCCTTCAGGAAAGGTCAGCACAGTGTTCCTGAAATGGTCCTTTCACTACTATCAGCTTTAAAAACAAACGCCACTACCCTATGCCTGACAAAAATGAACAAAACCCCCACAGTTCTGCAGCAGAATTTTCATTGCAGGCTGCTAACAAAAGGCTTTAGTGGATGGAAGAAGGCTATTTCTCTCCTTTACTCTTCACAGTTTTTTTCTAGATAAAGTGGGCCTAATTTCTAGTTTCAGAAATAAGGGGTTCACCTTGTGATCTGGATGTCTGACAGTTTTGTATCTTGCTGGCAGGGATAAAGCTGCAAACTATTTCAGTTTGATTTAACAGAAGTACAGTTAAAGATACTTGGGAACAGGTGTGCATCACAGACACTTTCTTAACAAGCACATCTTAAAGAAGAAATTTAAAATCAGAATTAGTATATGCTATATATCAGAATTACAGAATCACAGAATGGGTTGAAAAGGACCACAATGATTATCTGGTTTCAATCCCCCTGCTACGTGCAGGGTCACCAACCACCAGACCAGGCTGCCCAGAGCCACATCCAGCTTGGCCTTGAGTGCCTCCAGGGATGTCCTCCAAGAACAGCCTCCTTGGGCAACCTGGAGCTGGTGGTTCCAGTGTGTCAGCACCCTCTGTGTGAAAAACTTCCTCCTGATATCTAACCTAAACCTCCTGTCTCCGTTTAAAACCATTCCCCCTTGTCCTACCACTATCCATCCTCATAAACTGCCCCTCCTGTTTATAAAATGGCACAAGATCCAAATCCATAGGAAACCAGAATTCCGTACTTCCACAACTGTAAGAACTAGTTATTCAGCTTGGGGGGATTACTGTACACGAGCTATGCAGCAATAAGCAGACCTGTAAGCACCAGAGAAAGCAAACAGGGCACTGCAGAAGTTCAGCACTAATAGTGGAACAGAAGCTGAAAACAGACCTCCGAGTTCTTACTTTGCAGAGGTTTATAAGAACTGAGTAAAGGCAAAGGACAAGAACAACAAACAGACCAATATCACAATTACGCAAGTCTTACGTCATTAGAAAAGCCTTCTCAAAAATGCTTTACCTCCATCTGCTTTCTCTGCATTGGTCTGAAACCACATTGCAGTTGCCACCTGTGACTGACTTGGCAACAATATCTTGAAAGGAAACCAAGAGAAGGAGATCTCCACTGTGTTCTTCAGCAAGGGATAGCTTGAATATATTAGTTTATCCCCTTTTAAGTGGATAGGCTTATACTTCATTTTTTTAAAGCTACGTACACTTCTGAGAGTTTATGTTCTGAAGTCACTTAGAGTATTACAGAGAGATGTAGGCAATGCAGAGATATGAAAGACAACTAATAGTTCAAGCCTGGTATATTGCAAAAAAAACCAAACCAAAACAAAAAAAAAAAACATTAGCTTTTCTTTATTATTTTCATCAGAAGCCAGATACTGGCAGAGTTAACGAGTTTCACTCTAACATGCTAAACTAGGTTTTCTTAGTCAATACACTGTCCTTAGAGCAATAATAGGAAGATGTGCAGGGAGGCCTTAACTATTCCAAAATTACGTGATGTTGCCTCTCCCCACCTTCACTGGTAGTGCTCCCAAGGGACCGAACTTGAACGTAAGACTAAACAAGACCGAGATGAAGAACACTAGTGGAGGACACAAGTTACAAAGTGCCTGCAAGTGAGCGGTCCTTAAAGCTGGAGACAAGCAGAACACGTCTTCAGAAGCCTGAGAGTTCTAACACAATGAATTACGGAACTATTAGGAACATTAATGTTGTCAGATGTTATGCCTACATACATGCTGTACAATCATTTCCATAAGAACTCCTTGCGTGTACACATAGCTAGACACATGTTTCCACTGCCATTCTGATATTCATGGGAGCATTCAGTTTTATATTACTTAATGGAATTACAGAATGGCTTGGGCTGGAAGGGATGCCAAGGATCATTGAGTTCCAATCCTCCACCACAGGCAGGGCCACCAACTTCCACATTTAATACTAGACCAGGCTGCCCAGGGCTCCATCCAACTTGGCCATGATCACCTTCCAGGGACGGGGCACCCACAACCTCTCTGGGCAGCCCAGAGAACAATCTCAGCTGAAAGGCTGTGATGCAATACTTACTATCCTTCAAAGTGGTGCAGTGAGTATATTTACAAGTTAACTATTAAATGCATTTCCAATTTAAGATGCAAACAGCCTTATTAAAATAAATACCTTCTTGACTGAGGATCCTTCATGCCAAATGCAACTTCTAACTCCCCACAGGCACATGTCATTTACGGTTATTTTTAAGTGCACCTTGGATCTAAACAGTTATTATAAAGACATGAACGCTTGTGGACTGGTTGTTGTCAAATCCAGCATGTCCTTCTCTCACCCTCCATATGTGTTTGTTTATTACTCCTACCCAGTTTAGTACCCCACTTCAATCCACACGTTAATTAATTTACCTAAAAACTGGCTGTGCCTGGTTACAGTGCCACATACCTCACGCCAACCTGCTTTGCAAAGCAAAAGTGCATTTGAACGGAGCTCTATTCCAAATCATTCTGTGGATTAATTTGTTCTATACCTGGAAGCCTGAGGTGTTGTTATTATTTCAGCACACTGAAAAAAAACCTAACAAACATGCAACACATAACAGGAGCTCTTTAATTCCTCTCTCTAAAGAAGTCAGAAGCCCCTCTACATTCACCCAAGAGGCAAAATCAGAAAACTGGAGCAAGTTGGCCAGTAGTGTCAGCAGAACACCAACACTGAATTTTTGACACCTTGTTGACATTGTCTTTTGAATTTCAAACTAAAGCTAACATTCAGCTAGTGTCTCCACAATGCACACAGCAGGGCCATGCCAGCAACATATCACAACGTCATGCAGGTGACAGTCAGTTCAATCCATCCCTGCTCAGCTCCTAGATGTACAGACTGCTTGGAAAAACAGGGATTGAAGCAGCAAAGCCATCACCTGGCACCCACAGCCTAATCCCCCCCTCACGGCTATCAGACTCTTCCAGGCTTCACCATTTTTTCTCCTTCCACTCTGTTAAATCTTCTCTAAGGGACTCATATCCAAACAGCTCATCATTTATATCTATTCTCAAGCCACTTCGTGTGGCTAATGTTATTTTAGACACATCTTAAAACCATGCTTGGAACAAAATCATTTTCTAAGTTTAGCTCCCACAAACTGATGAGCACTTCATCCCAAAATATACTTTTGGGTCATTATTACAGCATTAATTGAAAGTCAGAATTAAGCCTCTAACACCTCATAATAACAAGAACCATTCACCCATAATGTATTCCTTCCTGTTTGTCTGACTGCCGCACGTAATTTATGTGTGATAAATAGCACTGTGCAGTTTGTTAGTGCCATATAATACAATCAATGTAACTAAGACTGCCCTAGTGAGCTGTACAGGGAGGGAAAAAAAGCTGAAGTCATGCTTCCAAAGCAAGCCTTTACATTACCTGACTTCAGAATGCTTACTGTACAACATCAAGTTATCTTTGCTCAATATTTTTAATAAACGTGCGTCTGGCTGCATTTAACAGAAAACCAAGATGTTATGTGAAAAATAAAAATAAAGCAAAAGCAAAGATGCGATTCCCTGCGTGGTTATGGTCAGTGATCCAACATACTCCCACATCTCTATTTGCCTTCTCATTTTCTCCTCTTCCTTACCAACAGCCCTACACCAATGGCACTGTGTGGCTGCACCCAGCTGTGCATGTGCAGATGCGTGCTGTCCCTTCTGCTGTCACAGGGAACTGCCTTCTACATGCCCTACCCTCATTGCAACCCCAAGTCCTGAGCTGTACTTGCGAGGTGCTGGCTTCCATGGAATAAGGGCTTCAATCTCCTTTACTGGCAAACTTAATAGAAATTGGACAATAAGCCAACATTGCAGGGTGGAGAAGGAATAGATGAAGCATGTCCACGAGATTTCTTTCCTTAGGAAATCAAACTGGAAACACACCCAACAGGAAAATGTTAGTTAGCAAGGCAGAAGAAAAGCTGTGAAGAAGGAGGACTTTTGCATCACACTCTGAAGCCACACTTCTAGCCCGAGCTCTCGCACAACAAAAGCACCGACACGATGCACGACACGTCCTCTGCACTACACCTCAGAGACGTTACAGGTGAGAGCTATCACAAGCGACAGAAAGCACCTGCTTTTCGCTGTCCGAAGTTAAAACTTCCTGAGCACCGGGTGACGGCTCCCGCCTCGGACCTCCAGGATTTTCCAGCAATAACCTCTATTTCCTCAATACCGCTACCTGCACGTTTCCCCCGCTCCGGGCGCTGCCGTCTCACCCCCTCCTCATCTCGCAGAGATGCCGCCCCATCAGACAAAGGGGCTGCGGTCGCCCTTTACGCCCCGGGGCGCCCCGGAGGCGGAGGAACGCGGGAGGCCGACCGGACGCCTCCAGCCCGGCCGGACGCGGATCCGGAGTGGGCTCGCAGCCCCGCTGTCGCCATGGCGACGGGCCCAAGCGCGGCGCTCGCCCTCGGCCAACCGCCGCCTCCCTCACAGGCAACGGTCGGCGAAGGGGGAGGGGCGGCCACCGGCAGCACCCTCAGCCCCAACCCGCTCCCCTCCGCTCTTCCCCGGGCGCCGGCCCTCCCTCCGCGGCCCGCACTCACGGGGGGACTGGGCGGGCTGGGCGGCGGCGCCCCCACGGCGGGGACCATCCTCCGGGCGGGCGCCCAGTGCCAGCGCGCCGCCGCTGCCTCCGCTCTCCTGTCCTCCCGCGCAGCCTACCCTGCTGTTAGCACGCGCGGCTGGCAACAGCCAATCGGACGGCGAGGGTTCAGCCCTGCGGGCCAATCGACGAGCGTGGGTGCAGGAAGGCGTCCCTCGACACGAGAGGGCGGGGAGAAGAACACGCAAGGCCAATCGCCGCCCCAAACACCTTGAGCGAAGCCCAATCAGCGGCCAAAGAGATTGAGAGTGGCGTGAGGACCGTCAACAAGTTAAGGTGGCCGAAACAGGAACTGTCGTAGAGGGGCATTGCGACCGTCCAATAGGAGAGAGAGAAGGGAGATTGGGGGCGGGCAAAAAATCTTAAAGAGCAAGGAGCCTGCGGGAGACCCCGCCCCTGGCGGCGGCACACTGGAACGGGTTGCCCAAGGAGGCTGCGGATGCCCCATCCCTGGAGGCATTCAAGGCCAGGCTGGATGTGGCTCTGGGCAGCCTGGGCTGGTGGTTGGCGACCCTGCACATAGGAGGAGGGTTGAAATTAGATGATCATTGCGGTCCTTTTACCTAGGCCAGTATATGATTCTAAGAGCTCAGCATCAGCAGCAGGCTCTGGCCACCCCCTAAAACTGCATTTATAGGACAACTCAGCTCCCAGGTAATGAAATAACCTTTGCTGATTCCTTTTTTTCCTTTCCCCTCACCCTTTAAGGCACTTCATCCTTTAATAGCAAATCTGAAGAATAAATAACTAATTCCAGCTGCTGTAGGCACAGAGAATAATACCCTTGCAGGCACAAAGATGTGATGAAAAAGACAGAAGCATAGGGCAGGCATGACAGAAGATAGGGTCTTACAGCTCCAGGTGGCCAATGGTAGAGGCCAGTGCTAGGGCAGAATAGCCTCCTCAGCAGTGCCCCCATAAAGAGGGCACAGGAGGCAAAAGGTTTCTGTAGGCCAGTGGAGGTCATAGGAATGAGGAAGGACAGATGGACCTTCCAGTACTGAGCAATGTGAAGCGTTCTACCACTCAATTAGAGAACCCTGGCATTACAATTGTTGTTGTTGTTTTTTAAATATGAAAAGAAAAAAAAAAAACTTTGTGAAGGGCAGCAAAAGTTACCAAGCCTGTGCAGGTGCTGCTGAGGCCAGAACAGAGGGCAGCTCCAGCTGTGCCTCCCAGGCTCTCCAGTAGAGGTCAGGCTCTCCAGCAGCAGCTCAACACAGCCAAGTCCACTGAGCTGCTTTTTTGCATGGTGTTCTGAAGAGTGCACAGACTGCAACTACTGATAGAGCATTCTCAATAAGCAAACACGCTGTAGCGTATCTGGGGTTACATTTCTTTCCCCTTCATAGAAACCACATCATCTCAACTTCATTACTTCATGAACAGTACTTTCAAAGTCAGAGAGGAGCAGAAAGAGTTAAAAGTAGGAAAAAATCAGAGCAGTAACTCACCTTTCTTAAGAAATATTATTAACATTTGCCACATACTGTACACAAGCAGGTACAAACCCTAGCTTTCCTAAGATTGTTGTCAACACTGGAGATAGCTAGCCACTCACTTCAACACTAGATATTCAACCTATAGAATCTGATTTTTTAAATCAGATTTAAAATATATAAGTAAATTTATCTTTAACTGTAATTATATCCAGGCTGGATGTGCCTCTGGGCAGCCTGGTCTAGTGGTTAGCAACCCTGCACATAGCAGGTGGGTAGAAACTAGATGATCATTGTGGTCCTTTTCAACCCAGGTCATTCTATGATTCTATAAAGCACTGAATTCCTCATGCCTGGTCTTCTTCAAAACTGTGCCAAAACAGTTCAGGACAGTTGCTCTCTCTGCTTTCCCTCATCCCCCAAGGCACAGGATTTCTGAGAAAGGCTCATGACTTCAGGGAAAACAGCCAACCCACCCCCACTTTCCTCAGCCATCAGACACGTGGCATCCATCACACAGCAGCCCCACTCTCAGCTCTTGTCTGGAATGCTCACTGTTTGTGAAGTCTTCATGGAGTAATTCTATATCTGATTTCAGAAGGAAACAGCTGGACTGCAAGGAATGCACATGACAAGTCATAATTGACATAACTCAAATAGTGCACGTTTATTCTGAACAGTATTTCTAAAGAGTCTGAGAAAAACAAAAACATGCTTCTGATGTACAAGGGCAATGATATAGATAATAACGGACCAACTCATTGGTAAAGAATTTGCTTCCCCTGCAACTTAATTTGTAACGTTGAGAATGCAATTGCAAACTGCAAACAGCATACCTTTAACTAGATTTAAACTCAAGAGACCAGGGGTGGTCTTAACCAGATTAATCAGAAAGCAGTTGCAGATTCAAAAGAAACATCCAAGTCAGCAAACACTTTACAGAAACACAGACTTTATGCATAGCAGCTGACCCTGGATTACAACATGGGGGAGAATGTAACAGTGGATGTTTAGGAGATCAAATTTGTACTAGACATCACAGGGCACCATCAAGAATTAACAAAATATCACAGAAGTTTGTTTCAATTGTAACAGTATGTCATATTTAGTTGGCAACTTCAACCATTAGCTGCATCATGTAAACTCAGCCAGTTTCTGTATACACAAAATAAATTCTCTCCCTTCCCCCTCCCAAAAAAGAGGGATATCTCTCCTGGATGAATCTTTTTCCCCCTGTACCATGGTGTCCTCCAGCAGGAGTATCTCTGTAGATATCATGCTTCAGTCCACGTACAACAAAACCAATTGCAGAGATTCAGGAATAATATGTAAATACACAGTTAACTCTCTAAAGCTGCTAGTTGCATATACCTTTTTCTCACTAGATCCTCATCCAGAACAGAAGTGCTGGCGTGTTTTTTTTCTTTTCTCCAATGAAACTCCCACCCAACTTCAAAAAAAGTTTACTTGTTCATAAACAGTTATTTTCAAGCTAGAAAGAGGTCCTGCTGCAGCAAAATATGAAGTAACTGAAGTTCTCTGCAGTAAGCTCATACTTCAGAGTTTCAGTGACTCTGGATAACAGTACTAAGATGCAGCATTCTCTTGTCCAACTCGGCCAATATACCAATACAACTGTTTGCTATTCAGAACTACTGACCTGCACTCTCCTTCATCCATGTACAGGGAACACAGCTTTCTAAGAGACCGAGATTAAACCTTGGATTCAACAACCGTTTTCCAGGATTGGAAAAGGAGTCTTACGTGTGTGGTCACTCTCACTTCCACTTCTTATAACACATTTAATCAGAAGTTACAATGAGGCAGGTTTGCTGCGAAACAGGAGCTCTAAGAATTGTTTTCAGGGATACATTCATAGAATGATGGCAGCCCAAAGCAAAGAGAGACAGAAACAAAGGTTACTCCAAGTAAGTTCAGACATCAGACTTGTACTTTTAAACCTGAAGGAAAACTGTCTGCAAAACACACTGATTTGTGGAAGCCTACGACAACAGCAAATCCTAAGAATTCATATCCCCACACCCATCTACCCAACCCAAACACTTACCATTTAGTTCTAGAAGAATGAAGAGCACTTCGCTTGGCACCAGAGGCAGCTATGGTCTAAGTTACAGCTGTGCTGCATGAACATCCTCAAGTACAATACTATCTCTCTCCCACCACATACTTCTCTTGGTTTGGTCTACAGATGGCCAGGGAAACTATGTTGGCATATGACAAGCTAATTGTGCTTCAATACATTTCCCCCCTCAAGACAGATATAGAACTGCCAACATAACCAGTGCAAGCAGGTCCTGGCAGTACTAAAAATAAGCTTTTGTCAAAACTAGGTTGCTTCTGGACAAAGAAACTTTTGCTTCCTAGCCAGAGTCTGCTACCAAGTGTTGCAAACACAGGTGCTCAGGCCATGCAGAGGGGCTTTTGTTGTTAGTGACCTGCCCACCACCAAGACTCAATTAGTGCAAACCTAGCAAACAGAATAGCTATTTTCCAGCACAGGTCTGTCAAGAAGCATTCCAATAACACTACACACCTCTGGGAAAGTAGTAGCAATTCTGGAGCAGCTTGTATAGTCACCCCTCCAGGCAATAAAGGACCATATAGTGTGCAATGAGGGGTACCATCCCTTGCCTCTTCACAACTCCCATCTTGAAATCCTTGGTTCCCAACTCACCTTCAAATGACTGGACAGCACCTGCTAACAAGATGTACGCTGCAATGCGCACTAGAGGTTGGCAGGCTTTCAAAGCAGATGAATTCAAGATGCAGGTTCAAACTTTAAAAGAAAACAAACAGGAAAAGAAGGCAGTTCAATATCTACTTGGGAAACAGGGCAGGGTGGTGTTGTCTCAGCTCAGTGCACTTCCCCAGATGCTTGGAGAACAGTCCAAGCTTAAGCTGGTATCTGTATTGGCATACACAGAATTGCTGGCAACAGTGCATTGAAAGGAGCACTGATTCATGCAAAGAAAGCATTATAGGATGCAAAGCAGAGCTTAGAGTTTGCTGTAGCTTTTCTGAGGTTACAGCACCAGGAAGAAGCCATTCAGCCTATTTTCCAAACCCACAAATTGGTCTAGTACACACTGCTCTCTCCAGTGCTCCACAAACACCACTTGAAGAGAGGAGAACTGCATTATTATGGCTGAAGGGTAGAAGGAAAAGAATCTTCAAAAGAGCAAACCATACTGTTTTTAAACCACCTTCTTCTGAAGAAGCACATAAACACAGCAAGCCAAGCCAATCCCCAAAAAATCCAGGAGACTCCTGCAAAGCAGTGTGATGGGGGTCAGATTCTTGTTTGCCTTCTCAGCCTTGCTGCCCAGTTTCTTCAACCCTTGACTCATTTCAGATTTGTCACCACAAGTTTAGCATCTGTAGCAAGTTTATCTGGAGACAGGTGTTTGCCTTACATGATCAATATGGGTGAAGTGGTTACAGTCACTCTTCCCATTCCAACAGTACAGATAAAACTCTCAATGAGCCCTACAGCACTTCACCCAATTTTAAAGCAAGGATCTTGCCTCAGGATTTTTTTTTTTTTTTTATAGGTTTACTCCTGCCAACGTTAGCTCTAGCTCTTACTCTGTCAGTCATCTGCTGAGAATGTGATAAATGGAGATAAGGAAAACCAAAGTCCACTCTAAACCCTCCTCTCAGTCAGTTAAGAAATGTAGCACCAGCTTGGGTGAGATTTAAAAAAAAAAACAAAACAAAAAAAAAAAAAAAACAAAAAAACAAAAAAAAAAAACCCACAACATTCAAAAATATCAGCCTAGGCAGAGTGAAAAAGTATGGTAAAGTAGCCTGCCCTTCTCAGCAAATGATGGAGGAAAAAGCCATACTCAAAAATATTGGGAAGAACTACGTACTTTCTTGAGGTGGGGGGAACTAGGAAGAAGAGTGGGAAGTACTGAAATAACACTCAAAGGCTGGGGGAGTAAAGTACCCTGTTGGTTATAAAAATAATACAGAAGTCAAAAGGACAAGATATTGCTTTTCCTTTTCTCCCCCTCAGATTTACATTCTGCTTATCGAAAGAATTCTCTGAAGGAAACCTGTCATCAGGATACCCTGCTCAAGCCCTTCACACCTCAAACTAAAGAGATTTGCACACCTCTTCCCACCTCAATCAGAACAACAACAAAAAAAACACCTTAAAAAAAAAAAAAAACAACCCCAAACATGATCTGACAATCCTTGGAAGAAGCATTACATTTTGTTGGAGAGAGGTCAAGATAAAAAAAAAAATTAAAAATAAGAGGATGACAATGAAGGTGTGTAATTAAAAAAAAAATTATCAATAGGCCTCTCTTTCCTTATTTGGCGACAAGCAAGTGCAAGAAAGTGTTCATTGGGGTTTTGTTCAGTTGTCGGTCTTTTGCACATCTGCGTTCTGGCCAAGACAAGGGGCTTTGAGGTTTTTCTGCAGCACATGAGCATCTGCGGGTTCTATCCTCTTGTAGTAGTTTTTCTTCGTCTCAATGATCTCAAAGCCAAACTTCCTGTAGAAGTCAATTGCTGACTCATTGCTGATCTGGACGTGCCTAGGACAGAAAGGAGGACAGAGAGACAGGTATCAGAACTCTCCACAGTATAAAGTTGTGCATTCGTGCTGTGAACAAAGGATAAAGAATAAAAGGATGAAGGAAGAAAGAAATGAATTATCTATCTAGAGAGGGATGACTGTAGTTCTAAGACTTGCAGTTTTGGTCTTCCCACAGGTTATCCTAACGTGGTTCCTGGATGATCTGTGGCAAATATCATGAGAAATGGCAAATACTTCCCTTCAGGAAAGCTATTCTGAGGAACACAAATAGCTGAGACTTAAATACTGATAGCTCAGTAATTTCAAATTTTCTTTATTTGGAAGTGATGGATAGTTTATGGAAATATATATAACAAAGTCATACAGCAGTAAAGGCTCTAAAGTGAAAATGTAACTATTTTTAAACTTCCTTTGGAAACACTTCTTATATGACCCAAAGCAACGTGTAGGATTCATCACTCAGACAGCTCTAACACAAAACTGATGATGACACTGAATAAGATTTTAACTCTTTACTCCTTGCTAACCACACTCCTCACAGAAAGCTATGGCAGCACAAAGCAGCCCTTGAGACTTACAAAAGTCCTTTCCCTTTTAACCCTGAGTTTTACAGATCTTGCTCCAGTGTATTCCCACAATTTGAAGGCCTCCAAAACAGCCCTTAGTTCTTCATTCTAAGCAGCCAGTGCATTTATTCCCAAAAGTTACACTACAAAAAAACCAGTCTGGCTCAGCAAAAGACATTCACTAAGCACTCCCAAAATCCAGCGGACACTGCACAAGCTCATGAATCACTTTGTCAAACACCAGGCTGCACAACCATAGACACAAAGCAACTCCAGAAGCTAAAGCAGAGCAAAACAAAAAAATATTAGTTTAAGCCCAATAAACACCAAATACCTAAAATAAAGCTTCAAAATAACAAGTTTAAACAATGACATCAAACTAGGGGCCAAAGCTGCACGTTCAGTTTGTAGCTACACAAAATAACAGAGCAACAAAACCAATGGTCAACAGAAAAATTCTGTTGTGCCTGACTGTGAAACCTATTTGCTGTCATTCCAAAATACTACTCTGATAAGCTACAAGAAGGATTACAAAGGTTTTGTTTTATTGCACTAAAACCAGCAAACAGTTCTATCACTGTGCACACAGTTATATGCAAAAAAACATAAAACAAAACAAAGAAGGAAGTTTGTACCTGTTAGAAGGCATCTGAGAGAATTCATTACTATCTCCTCTAAGAGAGGATAGCAGGAATACAAACCAAAAGCAGCTCTGACCAAACTCCTCTTTAAAATACCTACTCCTCTCACAGAGCAAGCAAAAAGATACAACAGTAGTGGATTTTGGAAGAATTTACACCTTCTTGGCAGAGAAGGTCTCAGTTTGAGGAGAAAGTTATGCATTTTTCCAGTGATATCAGTGTCCAAAACACTCTTCACTGCACATCTTTAAAAGTCCTGGCAAGAGTTCAGGCTACCGTGGAAACACATCTTAAGTGCATCCAAGCCACAGACATTGTAGGACTATCCTCACAGCGCCCTGTGAATGTGCCAGTATAGCCAGGAAGTTGTGGCCAAGGAGAGAGCTGGCTCTGAAGTGATTTTGGCCAAAACTGTTCTACAGGGAACTATTAAGGCAGCCCTTTCAAGTAGCCCTGTCCTCTACCCCAGCTTGTTCCCATGTCGATATCACACCAAGCGCTTACAGAGATGTGGCTGATATTTTGGAAACAGACACAAACCAACCAACCCCAGAAGCAAAACACTAAGAAGTTCTCCCCAGCTGTGTCAGATAACTGACCTAGTTTACTGTGCTGCTGCACAAACAGGTGACCTGGCACACTGCAAGAACTAGAGTAAGCAGTCAGGCCTTGCTACTGAATGCAAATACAGAGTGCCTGTTAAGCACCCCTGGGTTGACGTTCTAATCCATATGTTAGTGGTGTAAGAGACAACAGCAAATAACTTAAGACTGTATGCAGAATTTTCTACTACAGGACAATGCTGGATAGTATTAAAAAAAAAAATCAACTTATTTCTTCAAATCACGCAGTGCAACACTGCTACAGATGATCACTTTAACTAAAACAATTTCAAAATAAAGCAAGCCTTAGTAAAGCAAGCAAGCTTTTGGTTTTCTCTGCATCATACAACAAACCCAGAGTACAGCACATCCTCCCTTCTGCTGTTTTTGTTAAATATTCATGAGGAAAGTTGTCTCATAACCCTACAAAGAGATTATAAAACACTTTTGGATTTCCCTCCATTTGATCCCATGTACATCTCTCATTCTCCATAGAAGTATGGGTGCAACTCTTACTTACAGATAGATGTTGTCGAAAGTGCCATCTTTCTCACAGATGTTTAAGACATGATTCAGCATTTTAGTTCCTGCCGAAAGTTAAAGAAAGACTTAAAATCAGAAATGCACAATCATGTCTGTATTTAGATCACCAACTGCTTTCTGGAACACTTAACCGTAAGTAGGATAAAATGACAGATCTCGTGCTGATGACATTGCCATGAAGTTCTAAAACAGAAAACAGAATTTAATACGAAAGACGTCATCTGTAAGAATTGAAGTTCAGGCAGCAAATATGAATTACAAAAAAAAAAAAAGTTGTAGAGTTGTAAGAAGTATGTGCTGCAAAAATTTTCACTGTGAACAAGATACCCTTTTAATTATTAAGAAAAGATGCTTAAAACAGTTTTGTTTGTGAAATCTCTCATGGAAGGACCTCCAATAGCCTATAATTTTTCCCCTACTGCTGCACTTGGAGAAAAGCTACTAGAGCAGGCAATAAAATACAGCGTATGAGTACTCCACCATCCTTCTGTACACAAAACTCTGCTGAATTTCATTGTTTCTTTGGAGAAAAACAATTGCTCAGAAGCATATTTATAAGTCACCTTCTCTAAATACTACATTCTAGAACTATAATGTAGTTCAAATATGGTCAAAGCAAGGCATAGACTAGTGAGAATATTGACCACTTTTTTTTTAAATGACAAAAGCCTATTAAAAATATTTTAAGTTATCTTTCCAAAGCAAATAGCAAATACCACGAGCTTTTGATTAACTTGGCCCACAGATCTGCAACAGAGAAAACAACTTACTGCTGTACAGACATTAAAGGGGTACTATCTCTGAGCAGCAGTAACTAGAAACAAAAGATATAATTTAAAAGAATGAAGAAGTAACACAATAAAGGACAGATGCATTTCAGGGCTCCACAATATAAAAAGGATATTAAGGCTCTTGAAAGTAAAACCTTGGAAAAAAAAAAAAAAAAGAAGAGGCAGAGAGATAACCTCAATCTGTGCAGCTCCCTGAGGAAGGGAAAGAGAATAAGGTGCCAGGTCATGCTCCTGGGAACTGATGGCAGGACAAGATATGCACAAGACTGCACAGGGTAGTGGGGGTGGTGTGTTTAGGCTGTATATTAGGAAACATTTATTTACCTTGAGGGTGTTAAAACCTTAGGAGCAGGCTTCCTAGAGAGGCGGCTCATCGGCCATGCCTGTCAGCATTAAGAGACATTTGGACAATGCCCTCATCAACATGCTTTAACTTCCAGTTAGCCTGGAAGAAAGCATGCAGGTAGCTCCCTTCCAAGTGAACTATCCCATGTAAAATGCATACAGGCTCTATATTTTAAACAAACTATTTTAGAATATCTCTCTGCTTCAATTTCCTACTTATAGAAGTTGACATCACAGAACTAAAACAGCATGATTAAAAGAATTTGAAATCCTGAACAATAAAGTTCTAAAAAAAAAAAAAAAACCAAAAAAAAACCAAAAAAAAAAAAAACCACAAAAACAAACAACCAAACCAAAACAAAAACAACCACCAAAAGACAGGAAAGCAAGAACATGTTATAAGTCATTATTTTCCCAAAGCAATTACTGCTCTTAAAGTACATCTTGAGATATCTTGGCTAAAGCAGCAAAAAACTCTACGAGGCAATTTAAAAGGCTGCCCAGACAGCCTTGTTTGTTTGATGACAAGACACAAAAGAGCCCCCTCACCTATTCCTAGCCGTCGGTAGGGTGCCAGGCATCCAAGTGTCATGATATACAGCCTCTTCTGGTTCTGGGAGTGATCCACCCTACAACACACTGCTCCCACCGCAATATCATTGAAGTAGGCTGTCAGGGAGAGAAACAAAGCATTATCAGTCACAGATCTCAAACTATTCATGCAACTCCTTTGTTTAAACCCTGTATACGCCTTCCCAGCTGTTAACTCCCTGACCCAGATAAAGTCATACATTATGACTAACATCAAGGCAAATTACCAGGGTACTCTAACACAGTGTTTATTACTTATTCTTAACTGTAATAAGCAAATGGTTTCAGGAGGTAAGTTGGCAGTGCACATCTATGAAGTCTTCTGCTGTAACAGAAAACACACCTCTTTACAGTAAAATGCAAGCTATTTATAACATAAACCCTTTGAGGCTGGGACAGCAGCTTTTTAAGATTCCAGCAGTTATTTGTCATTATGTTAAGTGACCAAATAGCAGAATCTGCTACTGAAAAGCATTAAGGACGGCACACCACAGCCCACAGTTGCTGGCAAGAACATCTGTACCTAATTTGGCTAGTTCGCCAACCTCCAGTACGTCCTTGTAGAACTTGTCGTTGTAGCTGACAGGAAAGATGACTTGGTTTAGCCGCTTCAGCTGCTTAATGTTGTGGGGTGTCACATCTCCCAGCTCGATCCGGCTACTGGAACAAATCAAAATATGCTTAACATTGACACACTCTAAAATTTCTATGGATGCCAAAGATCAGTTGCTTTATATCTAGAGAACTGTTCCATCTAATGATCGGTCTAATACGTATTTGAATCGCAGTGTTAACCCACAAAATTAGCTTCCATCAAGTGGCTGCTTTAACTACAAAAATACAATATACATCAGTGCTATACTGTCAAAGTTTGAGGCTACACTTTACACTGACATATTTATAAGATGTGCTGCTTTATGGAGTGATTACCAGAAAAACATCCAGGAGAATACTAACCTCTGTAGAAGCTTAAAAAAAAAAACAAAACTTGAACATGAAGGACAGAAGGCTAGGAGAGACCAAGAAAATGAAGAGTTTGTATTGATAGGTGGCAGAATTAAGAAATGAATAAAGTTTATACTTAGAGATGAGTGAAATGCCACCATACATCTATAACACAATAATACTGTGTGCAGTAGAAAACTCATATTAAGCCTATTAATATGCAACAGTGCCACTGCCAAGGTGATATGTGCATCAATATGATCATCACTAAAGTCATCCTTCCTGCTGACTGAGAGCAGAACAATAACCTTGAAACCCTCATACTGCACCAAACTATGCTCAGAAGAAATAACCCAAGCTTTTTCCTTTTCTAAAACTAGTTTTCTGTCAAAAGCACTATCTCAAGGACTACAAGAATGAAAAATAAAGAACAAATCCATCAAAATCTTCCTTGGTCATCTGGACATCAGAAGACATAGGCAGGAACAAAGCCAATACACACTATGTTAGAAATGTATGCAGTTGCAGGTTTATCTGCAGTCCTGTCCTACCAAACACATACAGGGCAATCAGGTTGTTACAGACACCATTGTTACAGACACCATTCACAGCATTATTATTATTATTTTCCAAGCATGATTTTGAAAAGGCAGTTTTATAAGACTTTTGTATGCCACACTTCAAAATTATTTCTAGTGATGTGTGGTAGTGGCTTTCCATCTCTAATTTCCTTTGGAGGGAAAACAAACAACAACAAAACCCAAACCTTAAACAATTAGTACTCCACATCACATGATTTTTAGTGCCATTATCAATGATGGTAATAGATATGCAGTGTTTTCTAGCCATTATACTACAGCTTGCATAATGGTCAGAAATACTACAGGAATGGAGTAATGCTACTTCATAAAGCATAACTTGCCCTCATACCCACCTTTCTTTTACAGCCTTCAGTTCTGCAAAGCTATTGCAGCCTCACATGTCAAGGATCGTGACTGCCTACTCTCCGATATGACACAGTCATAGCCACCTACTGAGCATGCAGAAGTTAAACCATTTGTAAGCTTGCCCTATCTTTTAGAGAGACAACTGGCCTTAATTAACAAATTGTTGATGATTGTGTAATTCCATTAGATTAATACGTTCCAATTAAATACCTTAACTACGAATGGACGAAACAACTGGATGGTATTTAGATTGTGAACTTTGCTGACACCAGAGCCTTATCTTTCACCACAGCCTAATCTTTCACCACGTATTTGCCAAATGGATTAAAAAGCACCCTGGTGTTGAGCATCTCACTCCAGTACCAGTGCTTGCAGGTTGTTCCAAGCAGCTTTCTGTGTACTCCATGCCACACTGAAAAGCTGAATCTTTTTCCTTCTCAACTACAGCTTGCCTCATGTTCTGCCCAACTGGATGGCAATCTTCAGATCTCTTATCACAGCTAGACAGTACATTCTCCAACAGTGATCAAGAATGACAGGAGACCACTCTCTCCATATTTTTATCTATTTTAGCCTATGCAGGCATACTGGAAGTAGCACCAATTAGACACTGTCGAAGTTTCTAGCTATAAATCAATACGCTCTGCTGAAACAGCCTGCACTGTCCCTTTTCCACAACTCCTACTGCCTCCAGCCCTTAATTTCACCATCTTTTCCACCTGTAGAATCATAGAATCATAAGGTTGGAAATGACCTACAAGATCATCGAGTCCAACCATCTCCTCATCACCATTGCCACCACTAGCACTAACCCATATCATGCAGCACGTAGTCTAGATGCCTCTTGAGCATGCCAGGGACGGCAACTCCACCACCTCTCTGGGCAGCCATTGCAGTGCCTGACCACTCTCTGAAAGAAAAAGTTCTTCCTTCTGTCTAACCTAAACCTCCTCTGGTACAACTTGTGGCCATTACCTCGTGTCCTGCTTGTTGCCTGGGAGAAGAGGCCAAATCCCTCTTCCCCAACAACCTCCCTTCAGGAAGTTGTAGAGTGCAATAAGGTCTCCCCTGAGCCTCCTCTTCTCCAGACTGAACAATCCCAGCTCCCTCAGCTGCTCCTCATAAGACTTGTGCTCCAGACCCCTCACCAGTTTCACTGCCCTTTTCTGGACACACTCCAGGACCTCAACATCTTTCCTGTAGTGAGGAGCCCAAAACTGAACACAGTACTGGAGGTCCAGCCTCACCATTGCTGAGTACAGGGGGCTGATCACCTCCCTGCTCCTGCTGGCCACACCATTTCTAATGCAGGCCAGGATGCCGTTGGCCCTTTGGCCACCTGGGCACAACTGTGGGCTCATGTTCAGCCGAGCATCAACCAACACCCCCAGGTCCTTCTCTTCTTCACACTCATCCAGCCACTCAGCCCCAAGCCTGCAGCGCTGCATGGGGTTGTTGTGCCCAAAGTGCAGGACCTGACACTTGGCCTTGTTGAATCTCATCCCATTCACCTCAGCCCAACGGTCTAGCCTGTCTAAATCCATCTGAAGATAATCTTGCTCTCGAAATTATTTTCTTCACATACCACAGGCTCTGAGAATTATATTCTAACATAAAGCACTGAGCTAGCAACAGAGGATCTGTACACACCACAGGAATACTGCACTGTAAACAAGCATACTGTTAAATGATAGTTATTAGACAGTGAGGTAACTGTAATGCTTGTTCTACAACCAGCTTAATGCAGCTGTTCAAGCTAGCACAGCTGGCCTTCTTCAGGCACACAAATGGCAACAAGTTGTTCCCCTATCCCAGCCAGCAGCACCACTACTTTGTCTCACAAGGGGCAAGAATAAGACCACAGTGCATGAGGTTCCCTCCCAGATAAATTTATGTCCAGCATCCTGCTTGAGTAAAGCATCTCAGCAGCACTGCAAGAGAAGACTTCTGCACCAAGTGGAAACCAAAGGGAGCAGGTCTCATCCGCCCAGTGAGATCAGATGAGCTGCAAAGCAGAATGTCAATAAGAAAGGAGAAAAATCTTACATTTAGTCTCCCAAAAGCTTAGACCTCTTGTCCAAAATTATTTTATACTAACCTTGGTGATATCTTTCTATTTTTAAGAAGTAGGTTCAAGCCTCAGTAGATCAGTAACACTAACCCGAACCTTTATGATGAGCTTATGGTAGACTTGTTAGAGCAACTCCTCCTTAACACTTCAGCAAAAATCCCCAGACTACAATCAGGTACTACATGCTTTCTAATATTTTAGTCTCTGATGAAGTGCAAAGTAAGACATTAGAAGACAGTGGATTGAACATTTCCAATAAATAAAGCTGACATGGCCGAGGAGACATGGCCAGAAGACTGGCCTTCATCAGGAAGGTCCCACACAGGAAAAACAGAGAAGCAGAGCAAGACACCACCTCTCAGGCTGCAAGACCAGAGAAACTGCTCCAGTAGCACACAGCTGAAAGGTGTTGTTGACTAATTTCCCAGAGCCTCTGGGCTCCCCTCACCACCACTTGCAACATTAATTGCTGTCTCCAACATCTCCTTCTATCCACCTCCTGTGCTCTACCACTAGCTGTTTCTTCCCAGGGTGAGAATTACAGCAGGGCCAGCAAGATATCCTGGAGGACAGTATGAAAGAAATCTAAGAATCACTACAGCATATTGGTTTTGTTTCCTTAATGTGTCTGTTTAAATACTACATATTCAAACCATAAATTACCTTTATGTACAGCACTAGCTGATTAAATCAGCACCACATCTATTGTGCTCAAAACCATCTGAGGCAAACTAAATGAGCCCACAGAAAGGGAGACATACACCATGGCAGTTCACTTTGTCTGAGGACAGCTCAGCAAAAGTGCCACTGGAGCCTCGAGTAGAAACAAGGGAAAGTGAGCATTACTGCTGGAAGAAGCATCTTGTTATCCCTAAGCCACTCATTTCCACCCTCCTACTGGCACAAAGGCGGTAAACCAACCTCAATTAAAACTTCGCCCCCCTGCCTCCCCCTCACCCCCCCAAAAAAGGAAAGTTTAGCTTTAACCCACATCAGTCCCTTGGTTGGGTTTACCATGCAAAATCTTCTGTCAACAGAGGGGGGGAAAAAACGCCAGAAGCAGAACTGCTTCTTGAGTAGAAGTGCCAGCCTATCCCACATGAAGTTGCTTCTGAAATAACTGTACAAGAGAAGCATGGGGATCATTTGGCATTCACTTCATCTCAACCTCACATATACAGCAATGTGCACTTTGAACCTAAGGACTTAAAACCACCCAGCCTCAAAAAGAGTAAGAGTCTAGAAGAAAGTACACCAGATAGTCACTCCTTCCATTTCACTGGAGTAAAGGCAATAGCTAGTTACAAGTAGACAGGATTTCTAGTTACTTCTCAGCCAAAACTGCAATATAAATTTACTGTATCAGCTGAGGCCCAGTTGGGCCAGCTGTGTATTCCAGCTCGGTAGCAGCTGTAATAGAAATACCTAATCTTTACTGCTGCAAAGAAAAAAATTAAATCACAAAGCATATAAGAACACCTGAAGCACTCAGATGTCATCCCTTAACAGATTATTTTATTCCAATCATGTTCTTAGGAAGATACAGTTATTACTAGCATCCCAAATAGCATCCCACACAGGAGGTAGCAGTCAATTATATTCATTGTAGGCATCAATGCTTCTGGTTCAGAGATGGAACATCCCAAGGCACCCCAACTTAAGTAATTCATTTTCATAAGGAGGGACTACAGATTCCC